AGAGAAAAGTGGAGAAAAGTAAAGAAAAGGTGGAGAAGAGAAAAGTGGAGAAAAGTAAAGAAAAGGTGGAGAAAATTAATTGTAATTTAGGACAAAAAAACTAAAAAGGCTGGAGAATTGGTTTTGTTTCTGGTCCCATTCCTAAAATCAGATGAAGTCAAAGGTGTGTTCAGGGAGGACTCACCAAACTTCTGCAGCAGATGCTCAAAGTTGGGCTTCCCATCCCGGGTGACCCAGTTCCTCCTGCTGCCCCAGTCCTCGGTGAACTTGGCTGAGAAAATACAGGGCTGGTTGGGAATCAAATAATCCCGGAAAAAATCCGAGTACGTGAAGGAATCGACTCTCTCGATGAAGTCAACGTGACCCCCGGGAAGGCCTGGAGCAGCCTGGGATGAGGGGCTGGAGTCATGGAAAAAGGCAGTGGAACAGGCAAAGGTTGCCCTGTCCATGCAGGCTGGATGGAATTCCTGGCTTAGCCAAGAAAGGCTGGATGGAATTCCTGGCTTAGCCAAGAAAGGCTGGATGCAAGTCCCGGCTCAGCCAAGAAAGGCTGGATGCAATTCCCGGCTTAGCTGAGCAGGTTCCGTTCTCCCACGGCAGAAATAAACTGCTTAAAACGGGATTGGAGCCTCTAAATCTGGGAAAACTCACGGCAAAGTAGAGGGGAAACGGGGAGTGGTGCAGGAGCATCCCAGCACGGCGGGATAATTGGGATCTTCCATAGTTTGTGGAGGTCAAATGGGGTGGGATGGCTGGCAAGAGGCACCCTGGGGATGGGGAAGGTGCTGCTTGTTCCTTGTCACCTTCTTGCCAGGGCTGGTTCCTTCCTGGAACAGCAGAAACATTAAAATCAGTGGGATATTCCTGATAAATTCATTACTTGAAGGGATGGAGGGAAGGAAACCCCCTAAATATTTGGGAAAGTGATCATAGTGGGATCATCCCTTTGTTGGGACAGACAAGCTCTGGCACCTCTCCCCTTCCCCAGACCTTTTTCTCTGGATCTGGCAGCAATCATCCTAAAAATAAGGGGGATAATAGGGAATAATAGGAATAAAAGGAGGGAAGGGGGAAAACTGAGCCCAGAGGGGAAAGGAGGGCAAATAAACCACATGGGATGCAGGGCTGGGATTTGGGAGACACTGAGGGTGAAGGGGGGGATAAAGGGGCTCCAAGGGAACACAACAGTGGGATTAAGGGTTCTCCATGAGGGGATTCCAAGGGAACACCAGGACACCACAGCAGGATTAAGTGTTTTCCATGAGGGAATTCTAAGGGAACACCCGAACACCACAGTGGGATTAAGGGGCCTCCATGAGGGAATTTTCCCCTCCCAGATCTCCAAGAGGACACTCCAAGGGATTAAAGGACCTCCATGAAGAAATTACTTCCTCTCAGAGCTCCAAGGGAACACGACAGTGGGATTAAGGGTTCTCTATAAGAGGATTCCAAGGGAACACCAGGACACCACAGCGGGATTAAGGGGCCTCTATGAGGGAATTCCCCCCTCACGGAGCTCCAAGGGAACGCTCCAAGGGATTACGGGACCTCCACGAGGGAATTCCCCCCTCATGGAGCCCCAAGGGAACACTAAAATGGATTAAGGAGCCTCCCTGAGGGGATTTCTCCTCCCAGAGCTCCAAGGGGATACTTCAGTGGGACTAAGGGACCTCCAGGAGGGAATTTCAAGGGAACACCTGGACACCACAGTGGGATTAAGGGACCTCCAGGAAGGAATTCCCCCTTCACGCAGCTCCAAGGGATTAAAGGACCTCCATAACGGGATTCCCCTTCCCGGACCTCCCAGCTTGGGGGGGGGGCACCCGGACACCACAGCGCGTCGCACACCCCATCCTCACATCGCGCTGCCGCTCCACCCGCCCTCCCGCTTCCCGTCGAGGCTCCGAGATCACACAGGGAGCGATACTCACCCGCACCCCCCGCGGGACATCCCTCCGGGGCGAGCGGCGGCGGCAGCGGGGACGGCGACGGGGCGACGGGGCGACGGCGGGCGCGGCCGGAACCTCTGCGCGGGGCGGGCGGGGCGGGGGGGGAGGCGAAAAGGGGAGCGCAGCGGCGCGGGGCTCGGCCAATGGGAGCGCGCGGTGTGCGCAGGCGCGGAGCGGGGCCGGGGCCGCGCCGAGGGAGGTGCGAAAGGAACGGGGGGGTCTGGGGGCTCCAACCGGGGACGGGGGGGTCCGACCGGGGGGCTCCGGTCCGGGAGGGGGGAGCTCCCACCGCGGCCGAGG